CGGCACGTGCCTGGAACTGAAACACAGGTTCCGCATAATTTTTCCCAAGAATGAAATCATAAACGAACCGTTTCTCGCCGACCCTGGTGGCCATCATAATCGGCTTAATCATAATGAACTGAAAGCGTCATTATGGTGCAAGTGCAATTTCTGACTGGGTTTATTTTTGTTATTTGTTGTTTTTTATCGGGGGGATCAAGACCCAGGCAGACGCCCACATAGACCACTGGCCAAGTCTTTGTTTAGCTTTGTTTTCCGATTTTTATTCGATCACCCTCGAATGCTCCCTCCGGCCTTGTTGATTCATAAAACCAAGTTTATGTCCATATTTATACCCGTTACTCGTAGAGTAAAAGGGTATACTAGATTCGTTGAAAAGTATGTAACAGATAGAAGGAAGCTTTTGCGACCCTATAAAGTATATATATTCTTGATCAGGATCAATAGCGAAGTCGATTGAGCCATGTCCGTCTGTCCGTCCGTCCGTCCGTCCGTCCGTCCGTCCGTCCGTCCGTCCGTATGAACGCTGAGATCGCAGGAACTATAGCAGATACAAAGCGGAGATTAAGCATGAAGATTCTTGAGGTCCAGGACAGCGCAAGTTTATTACAGCATCCTGCCACGCCCACTCTAACGCCCACAAATCACAAAAAACTGAAATTGCTGAAATCTCAGGAACTATTGCAGATAGAAAGTTGAATTTCAAAAGTATAATCTTTAGATGACAGCGCATCTTATAGTGGTACTACTATCCGGCCACACCCACCCATACGCCCACAAGGCTCAAAGACCGTTTTCGGATTTTCTAGAAAAGCTGATATCTCGGTAACTATAAGAGATAGAAAGTTCGGATCAAGCATGTATGTTTCTATGATGCTCCCAATGCGAATTGTTTTTTTCCGATCACGCCACGCCCACTCTAACGCCCACAAAACCGGAAAACCAAAAATGCAAAAATCTCGAAAACTATAAAAGCTACACAATTTTGCTTAGGAACACGTATTTAGGAGATGCCTCTGCAACTTGCCACGAAGTTGCTTCCGGCCACGCCCACTCTAACGCCCACAAACCGCGGAAAACTGTGGAGTCTATAATATTATTATGAATGCCTTCGTTTGACCTTTTGTAACTTATTTCTGTTAATATCTATCGATTTACAAAACATTTTTCAAATCGGAACATTATTTCGCTATTTATGAAGAAATTAAGGTTATAAGGCTCCACATGGGCAGTGACGTCACTATAAGCATACTCAACATACTTCCTCTGACAATAGGTGGCGCCTTGTGAATTTCCACTAGCAAAATTAATATTTTAAAATTGTGTAAAACAGTAACGGGTATCTTATAGTCGCGGCACTCGACTATAGCGTTTCCTCTTGTTTTTTTATGGAACCAGCACAGTAGTTGGCTATGGGCTCTTTAATGATCTTCGGACCATAAAATTGCTGTCTCAAAAATATGAATAGATTTTGTTAATGCGCCTCGGGGCTCAGCTGGATGGAAAACACAATTTTTGTGTGATTTACGATCGATGCGATTCGATTGATATGGGATCCCTGGAACAGCTGATCGTCTGGAATTACCCTATAAATATTTGTACAAGTGGGAAATATGGTTTCCATGGGAAATGCAATACCTTGAGCAGATTGCTGTTGTTGTTTTTCCATTTATTTTGCAAGTTTTTCTGGCGAAGTAAATAAGTGGAAATCGGACCAAGGAAAGTTCACTTCGCTTTTGTCTATGAAGCATTATTATTACCAAATAGTTTCATTCAAGAGTTTCGGAATCCGAATCAGCTCCCCCTGCGGAAACCCTTCTACATACAAAATGAAAAACCCCAAACCAGAAATCTGCATAATAATCTCTTCTAGACATTGCTCCGTGCTAACAGGCAGTACGAATTTTGTTTCAACTTGCTAACTCCTTGCTAGGCAGCGTTTTGTTCTCTTTTTTACAAATGCGGTCAGATCTCAATGGCTCAGCAACATTTTCCATTCCAAGGGAGGAAGAATGCCTCAGACCTTTGGCATGTGCTGACAAATGTGAAACTTCCCTAATCAGCATACTGAAGAAAAAACTGACCCAATTCGCGGGCTGGCCAATCGAGTGACGCATTCCTCGACGACTTTTGAACCGGAGAACTTGAGCTGCAGAGGAGGGAGAAGGAGGGGAGACAGAATGGTAACCAAATGACAACATACAAGCAATTCAATGTCCCCGAGTCCCAGTCCGTGGCCAAAACCAAATCCTTATCTAGATGTCCAGCGAACAGCCGCAGGCCCAGATCAAGTTGTAAGAATGCGAACATGGCAACAAATGTGCTCGACTCAGGTGTTAAAACTTTTGCATTAAAATGGCGCCCAGGCAACAGGCCTTGATCCCAGATCCCAGAACTGAGATCCCAACTAGCCCCCACATCCTTGGGCTGTGTAAAATTAATACAACACTCGGGGAGGTCCAGCCCGATCAAAACTGAACGTAAATCTTAAACACTTTCGGGCTCCCTGCCCTCCGTTACCGATTCTCTGATTCTCCATTGTGTGCAGCAGGCTTTGGCAGTCGCACGATCAGCACGTTCAGTTCCGGAGGGAATCTGGGAGGGGATCTGGTATTCCACTGAGGCGAGGATGGTGGATGGTGGATGGTCGACGATCGGCAACCGGTCCACGACAAATGTGCCAGTCTCAGCAACAAGCCAGACCGCAGAAATATCTGCAAATGCAGCGAATTGTGCGCAGATTTGTTTACAGAAGACTCTCCTCGGAGTGGCCAGCATCCAGAAGGAGAAGCGAGGGGCACGTTGATCATCGTAGATATAATTGACGACATGTTGTCTCACGATCGTGCTAAAGCGATTAAGGCAAATTTAATGCCCAACTCAGCGAATCATTTCCTTAAAAAAGCCCAAGAGGTCGCCCGGCCTGGGTCCTCCTCCCACTTCAGGCTTCTGCTCAATTTTCAGTTGGAAAAGCCTTTCCGAAATGCCATAATCAAGTTACTAGCTTCACTTTTGTTTTTATTTACGCCATGACTTGTCGTTGGCTGAAATACAATTATTGTCGGAATTCCAATGCATATGACTCGCATATTTACTTAACTTGCCTTGCACTTGCCTCTGCTTACGTGTAACTTCATCCTGGCCCTTACGTCAGTCTCTGTTTAGACGTTCGGCCAGAAATTAAGTGTTAAATCAATATAAATTGTTTACAAATCGAATCAATTGCTTGGCCTCGATGGAGACAGCTTTAATTCAAAAATAAATATGAAAACTTTAATCGTTTAGGTTTACATTTATTTAAGGTTTTAGTTGCAAAGTGTTATAGATTTTAGATTTTATATTATTTTGTTTGATATTATTAATTACTTAGCTTCAGATTGGCCTACAAATGGTAGTTAGGCTAAATTAAGCAAGAAAAAAACATACGTATGCATGGAAAACTAGACATGGATGTTTTTTAAGGACAACTACGTAGGAGTCGTAATGAACGTGCTGTTCTCTTCTTCATTCTTTTATCTTATTCTACTTAGTCCAATTTGTGCATGTATTGGGGACATTTGGCGTTCGTGCGAACAGGACACACATAGTGCTGGTAGCATGATCTTCATGCAAAAGTAAGGGAGAGGAATACATTGTGCTTAGAACTAACTGTGTATAGATAGCGTTAGTGAAGTTAGTGTGACTGTTGGCTAGTGTGACCGCTTGCTAAACTTAACAAGCATTTATGTTTATATTTACTTTTATTGCTTTTAAATGCTTTGATTTTGCTGTATAGGTTTCTATGATGTCAAAATCTATTTTATTGCATATTTGTTTTGTAGATTTTTTCTGCGTAAGACAACAATTAGGCTCTGCAATCGTTTTCAGAAATAAAGTTGCACTTAAACTGAAATTCAGATTAAATAAACAAACAAAACTTATATAAAATTGAAGTTTGAATTTAATAAATTAAACCATATTTTAAACTTTAATAGAAAACTTAACCATTTTGAAGCAGCTGTTTGATTCTTTTTAACCCCTAAAGGGAGTATCTCCCCAAACTCGACTTGTAAAATGTTTTCCCAGAAACTTCCCAAAGATTGGCTCAAACATCTTCAATTGGCCTCCATCCCATCTGAGCACTTTCCATTTTAAGTTCCAGCTCATTAGTGACTGTCCGGCATTGTGTTTATGGTACCCAATTACCATCGAAAGTGATTCACGGCTAAAGCTAAAGGGAGAGCCCTGTGATTTGATTAGATGCCAATTTGTTTATGGCACTGGCTGCTCCGTCCAGAGATCGGATATCCCACATCGCGTATCGGTTAAACTATGCCCAGCACACTTCGGCTCGTCTTACATAAGCATTTCGATTTTTGGGGGCTCCTTTTCTAATACGTTACGGATCCATATTGAACACGAAAAACCGCCGAACCCAATAAAGTTTTAGGCGTCTTGAATTACCCGAGATTTTCGTTTTGGTTTTTACGATTGCCATAAAATTGCTGGCGGTTTCTATTGAAAAGTCGAAGGAACTCCATTTGATTAGTTTATTAATTTGTGTAATGTGCTCGACTGGTGGCGGAGTTCGTTCGATTAATTTATTAATTTATGCGCTTAGGAAACCCTATTTTCAGATGGCGTTTGCCCAGCGGCAAAAACTCAATCACAATGGGCATTGTTCGCCCGCATCCGAGAGATACTTACCAAAAAAAAAAAAAAAAAAAAAAAAAAAGAAAAACTTTCGGCTGTGGAAAAGTGGTTTTCGACCCACCCCTGGGCTGTTGTTTTGGGGGAATGGGAATGGGCGGAGTCTAGGAGCGGTTTGTGGCCAAAGAGAGCAAGAGAGAGGGAGACAGCTGTGTGCTGCTCACACGAACTCGTTTTGAGTGCCGCCACCATAGCCAAACGAATAAAAATCCAATGCAGGGATTTTCACTCAAGCAGCGCTGCTGTGCCTCTGCCGGCGTCGCCTTGAGCCAGAAAAGTCGGGTGGCTCGTTGGTTCAGTCGATTCGAGCCACTCAGAGCGAGCGCTACGGGGAACGGTCGTCCGCCCGCAGCCGCAGTTAATCGAGATACCAGATACTAGATACTCCTCGTTCAGAAACGTCAACCGAATTGCAATATTCGATTTCAAAACATCATCGAGAAGAGCCAAACATAGTCTACCTGAATCGGTTCAAGTCCACTCCTACGCGTGTGTGTTCCTAGTGAAAGTTTTCGCAATCCCACAGAATGGTCACCCTAATGCCATACAACTACGCCGCCCCGCGATGCGGATTAATTGACAAAATGATCGAGCCAAAGGTAATCAAATAGTCGTAGTGCCCGTAGCGGGACGTTCGCTCCTCGCGAAGCTTTAAAAGTGATGTGGTTGAGCCGTCGGTTATTGTTATTGTTAGTGTTATGATTATGGTTATAGATGTCGGCGGTAGCTTCCTTGGTGGTTACATTGTGGGGCTTCCCCTGGCTGTGATTACCCATTTCTACCCAAAAAGTGAAACTCTACTGCAACATTTAGCGACTTGCCATTATTTATTAGGCCTGGACTCTAATATATGTACGAACAAGAGTTTAGGATGGCTTAAGGTGATCCATTAGGCGGCGTGATATCATAGCACACTTCATATATAAATCTGGTTGAGGTTGACAACTAATTCGTGTTGAGATGTCATTTAAATTCATGAAACTTAAGAAATACACTTGGAGAAATATCATTTGATCGAGTTATTAAGAAATTATTAAACAGATTTTAGATTTAACAACTCATCTTGGGCTAATAATTATGGAATGTCTCTCATTCACGTGGGATTACTACTTTTATAGACCCATCCTGGGAACAATAGACTACTCTTTGTTGAAAAATCGTTATTGGGGATTGGGATTATAGACACCTGACCACAATTTTATTACATCGCATTAATCGGCTTAGCTTCGCTCGAAGGTAATGAACTAGACAAGTCAAGCCTTAAAGGTCTTTAAAAACATCCAATAGAGGTCCAAGCTGAGGTCTTGCCAACATTTTCATTTCGTCAACATTCAACTTCCCTACGGATGGTATGCATTTCTCCAGCCAATTAATGGCCCCTTGGCATTCACTGGAATTTCGGCGTAAAGTCTGGCCCAGATCAGCGCAAAAGTTGGTTTCCCGGCGATTTAATGGAACAGCATACTAACCACACCAACGACAGGGTTTTATGGGGCCCTGAACTTAGACTAAGACAAAGTCGGATCGAAGGAAACGTGACGAACGTGGAGTGGCTGGATGGTTAAGGCGAAATATTAATAGAGCATAAATTACAGCGCTAGCTGGTCTGGGTGCCGGCTTTATGGGATTTTAAAGAGCCTGGCCCACAAAGCCAGAGCTGGGCTTCGGCCGGCCAGCGGCATTAATCACATTTTAATTAAGTTTAAGCCGTAATCGTAAAAATTAACACGCCATAATTCAACTGCGACAATACGCGCTGCATGTAATTTATGACAAAGAGAACTGGCATAAGTATGTGTGTTATGTATATCGTATAGAGGGGGAGAGGTGAAGCGGGGAAACGGCGGGGGAGGAGTCGAAATATTGATTATGGCCACTGCGATTGACACTTGGCGATTGTTGATTATACTACCACGATTGTGGCCCAAACGTAATTAACGTGCCAAAGTGTTAAGGTGCATGGGATAGGTCCCCGTCCCTATCCCCTCACCACCTATACCATACCATCTCAGCCACGAGGAGAAACAAATTTTCCTCTTGTTTATTTTGATGTTTATCGCAGGGTCCGAGGGTGTCCGAGGGGGGTTCTAGGGGCTCTTCGGGATCTTAGGGCCAGGTTAATAAAAAATTTGTCGCCGTCTTCTTGTCTTGTCTTTTGTTTGCCTGCTCTTTGTGGCCGAGAGTGTGTGCGTCTGTGTGTGTGTTTTAATCTTCTTCTAAAGCAGCAGAAGAGACAAAGAGATTACGATCACAGGAATTTCGTTAAAGATGCCCAGAAACAGGTCTTTATACTACATATCTCCCACTCTTTCCCGCAGCTGGGACCAGCCCCCAACCTCCAACCTCCAGCCTCCTTCCCTCCCCCTCTGTGGACCGTTGTCTGTGTTAATGTTTACGTTGTCAGCTTGTGCCATAAATTAGTTTAGTAAAAGGTTGCATTTGGATCTTTCTCCCCTTTCGGGCTCCTCACTATCTCACTATCTCATTTTTGCATACAGCCGAGACTCGAATTCGGTTGCTCGTGCAACACGCAATCCCAATGCAAAATTCGCGGCTCGAAATCGCGACTCCGTGCGCATCGCGTCGAAACGCTACCGTTCGGCAATCTGTCCGCCTGTCCGCTGCGCATGCGCATGTTCCTTTGGCCCGTCGACAAATTTGAGAACTCCGCCCCTTCGGCAACCCATCTGCCCCTTCGGGATCGCCGGATGATGGACAGTGCGTGCGTGTGGTCATCTCGCTGGACGGCAGAAGCTGTCATCCCGAAGCCGCTCAACTTTCTGGCCTGTTTCAGGGGTGGAGGTGCTCACAAATTCCAGCACCTGGGCTTGCCCTTCCCGGCCGTCCGCCTTCGATTTATCTGGCTTCCGTTCGATTTGCATAAATGTCCTCAGCTTTTTTGGCATTTGTCGAAGTAATGTTACCAGCTAGTGACTGCTTTTTGGGGGTTGAATTGTGCCCTTGAGGTTATCGTTAAATACTCCTTAAAAATTATATATAATTTCTCTTTTCATATTACTCAAAACTACATTGTTATGTCAATTCAGACCTATTGCCCATTCCATCTGGTTATTACCTCAATACCCATGTTTCTTAGAAACTCTTCCAATATAATGCTGGTTACCTCCTTAACATATGCATTCTCATGATTGTAATATCTGCGTTCTCTAATCATATAGTTGACTATATCAATCTTAAATTTCATTGTTCTCCCTAATCAACTTCATCAAAAGCGAAGTATTTCTTTAATTTTTTGCTGTATCCTATGATATCCCTTCATCAGCTTTAAGCCTCATTTGTGATATCTCCCAATAAACTCTACTAGTCCCCGTGTCACATCCTTATCGAAATCCACTGCCACCTGCTGATCTCCCCCCACCTCAAGTTACCCTCAAATGGCGCCGAACATCCGAAACATTTCGGCCAGCGGCTGTCCGGTAAAACTTTTTCCCACGCACAAGCTCGAGCTGCGAAAATCGCTTAGCGCAGCAGCAAATGGCGGTTGCGAATTATGTAAAATTGGCTGTTTTCTTTCGCCACTGGCAGTGGATAACCCACATAGAGTTTCAGGCGGTGGAAGTGCCGAGCTCAGCAGGGCGACTCCAGACTCTGAGGTGTGAGTGAGGTCCGTTGTTTATAAACAAATTCTTCGAGGGCCCGGGGAAATGCGCCTGACGGACTTTACATAATGCCTACTAAGCCATCAAAATGTATATATTTCTTTTCGGCTTAATTCGCTTAATAACTTTATGTGTTTTTCTTGGCATATTTTCAGGTTAAACGTCCCAAGACAGAGCACACGGATACTCATGAACGCAACCGGTAAGTCTAAATGATATTTATTACCAAATAAGTCATCTTAATTAGGTAAACTGAACATCTAAATTATGAATTCATGAAATAAGAAACAACTTTATATGGGTAGATAAACTTTGGCAGTTGATATCAGCAGATCAGAGATATATAGTTTGTAATATTCCTTAAATATCAACCAGATATTGGCTTGTTAGCCGTTTCGATAATCAGTTTTGGATAGTTTAAGAATTATATATTCTTCTTAAACTTCTTGCAGGGATTTAAAACTGTTTTTTTGATAATTTCATAAACATTTTCCCCACAAACTATATGCTAGGATCTTCGAAATGTGTTCCTTTCTCTGTAAGCGTAGACAATTTGTAACAGAAAGGACAGCCCTCGTACTTGACAAGAGGCGCAGCATCTTCAATTGGTTTCGATTGAAAAGAGACAAGGGGCCATGAGGCATGTTCATATTTTGCATGTGGCCCTCACAACCTGACACATGCCCCGGCAGAAATTCAAAGAATTCCGTCCACGCTTCAGCTACACACAGAAGAGATCCCAAAAACCGAAAACTGAAAAACTCAAATCCAAAAAACAAAAAGAGAAGAGACCGAACCGAACCGAACTGAGAAGTGTCAGAGCACTTAACACTTGCCAAGGGGCAGGAAAAGAGCGGACGGACTCGGGGCGGTCCAGGCCCAACTACTTAAAAGAGGCTTAAAGGCGGCAACGGTTGCGGCTTAGCCTTAAAGACCTCTTCCGTCTCCCTCTCTAATAATTTCCATTATAATTTGCGTAAATCTCCCATTGGCCACCGCGTCATCAGGCGGAGAGCAGATCTCTGAGGAAAAGTTTTCGGTTGGCTCTCCACTCTCGACGGCGCACGCGTCGTTCTGCTTTGGGGAAAAATGCTTACCCCCTTTTTCCAGCTGCTCCCCCATCGTCGTTTTCCTCTTGTTGTGGCTGCCAGCAAGATAAATGTCCCCCTTCTCCAGCCGAGGAACAGAATCTCAAGGTGTCAGATTCCTTTGGAAATTGGGCACTTAATTTACCTTCCTATTAAAATTATGAAAAATTGTTGAATATTTCCCAAGCCTAATGGGGGAAGTTGGAGTACGGAGGATTGGGAGAATGTGGGATAAGAAAATAAACAGGAGAATGGATGAAGTAGGAGTAGGGGTTATCAGTAAAGATTGGAAGTTACTTTAAGGTAATTATGCTCATTGTGGAAAATGCCCTCTTTATGGCAAGAACTTCTTCAACTATAGTAACTAAAGATATACAAAAATAGTAAAAAAACCCTTTTAAACTGTCACTAGAGTTTTAAATTTATATTTACTCAGCTGGCAGCTGATTATATAACCGTTTATTTTGGGGAGCCAAGAAAACTCCACTTAATTGCATGGAAAAGGATTGAATTTCTCCCCAATTTGTCTCCCCATTTCCCTCGAAGTAATCTATGATCCCCCGAACATTTTTCATTGTTTTGATTTTTAGTTTCCAGTGATTTATTTGACTTTCCATTGGTGCTCAGTTTTATTTGATTTTAAGAGAGCCCTCCGAGATTTTCCCATTTGTCCACTCAATTTGGACCTACTTGAAAAGTAATAACAGAAAGGAAACATCAAAACACGAATCGTAAAATATAAAAAAATATTTGTCGCCGCTCTTAGGCAGCTCAACATTTGCTGAACACATGGCCGGGAAGGGAGGAGTAGTAGGGGTGGGGAAGGTCACCGAAGGAGGCAACAACGGGACTTGTCCGGGACAGTCCGCACATGCCACCAAAATGCGAACCCAACGAGCGCCTCAAGTGCCCCGAAGTGATTTCAAGCGATTTCCTCCTCTCATCTTGGCGATCCTCAATCCTCCAGTAAACAACCCAAAGAGACCCGAAAAGACAGGAAGAGGGGAACGGCGAGATCGTAGAAAAATATTTATAACACTTGACAAGATTTGGAAGACCTCTTCTTCGGTCGGGACTTCGGCTGGGAAACACTTGACTCCGACTCGGGGGAACCCAAAGCGACGTACAACGTGCCGTTAATTTAATGGCTGTTTAAAGATTATTGGAAATTATTTTATGGCTTTCCTAACGAGCCAAAGGCTCTCTGTTTCTTTCCTTTCCCAAACAATGGGAATGTCTCTTGTGTATGGGGTGGACCTAACACGCATTACACTGAATCCTGATCCCGTTTCTTGTTTCTTATTAAATCGGTTTAAAGTCGCTCTTTAATAAAAAAATACTTGGACTTGCTTTTGTTGATATACATATGTATGTATGTACATATAAGGCCTTTAAAGAGTTTAGATCAGGGGTGCTCAAAAAGAAAAAAAAACTTTTTTTTGCTAACCAATTCATTAATCATTTTTACCCCAAAAAGTTCACTGCGAAATGAAATCGAAAGTGCGAACAGAAGTCATAAGGAATTAATTTCAATTCCAAGTGTTTGAGGAGGACCCAGGAAGAAACAAGAACAGTTAGTTACGGAATGAGGCGGAAAGAGGAAAGCAAAAAATTGTTAGTGGAATAGCGTCGCGAGAGCTCAAAACTTATGGACGAGCAAGTCGATATGCACCGAGTATTTACAAAAACAAATTAGCTTTGAGAGTATAGGCGTTGAGTACCCCTGATTTAGATCTTTAATAGTTAGCTAGGTAGACTTGAAAGTATGAATGAAATAAATGAATAAAAATCTTACAAATTATACATTTCTGTTATGACTTTCTTGAGACTTTAGCTATTTATACATTTATCAAGGCATTTATTTGCAAATATTTTACAAACTCAAAAATAAATACTTTGATTAAGCCGCAAGCTTATTTTTAACAAAAATACAAATTCAAGAAACGGGTTTCAATTTAAACCCTCTGTACTTATTGTCTTATTAAACAGTCTTACTTAGTCAGTGATTACATTAGTCACTATAACCGATAAAGGATATATGGGATTCGTGAGAAACAGGTTTAAGATGTGTAATATTTGGTAATAAGCATTAATATCCAAGTCGATATGGGCATGTCAGAGTAAAGGTATATTCAAATTTAATTTCATTATTTTGTTATTAAGTGTTATGTTATTAATGTTATTAAGTTGTTAAGGGTATCAAACAATGGTTAGGAACTCTCGACTAACGATCAGTGAAGAATAATAATGCTTACTCTGAGGTATTCTTAGTCGGAACACTCGACTAAACTGATCCTTAAACATTGAAAGTTCCCACCAGTTCACACCACCCTTTCGATAACCTCCCCCACTTAAAACGCCTCTTATCTCATCTACCTTCCCATCTTATCTCCTTGCAGCCTCTGCAATCTGTCACAGCAGCAGCAACAGCAACCCCAGCAGCAGCAGACCCACCAGCAGCAGCAACAGCAACAGCAGCAGCAGCAGCAGCAATCCCATCCCAGCACCGTGTTGGCCAGCAATGGACCCAGTAGCGCCGGTGCCGGCATGGGTGTCGGTGTGGGCGGAGGCGGCGGCGTGGTCGGTCAGTGCAGTCCACTGGGACTGCCACCGCAGAGTCAGCCGCTGCAGCCAACTATAGGATCGCTGGCCTCGCTAAGCGGTCACTACTCCAACGGGAATACCAATCCGAATGTGAATTCGAGCAGCTGCAGCCTGGCAGCAGCCTCCAGTTTCTCGCAATCCGCTGGGAGCAGCTTCTCCACATATCAACAGGCAGGCGGCACCGGCGGCGGAGGAGTTTCTGGCGAGGATGGAGTGGTGGGCGGAGCAACTGTGATGTCGCACTGGACGCATGATGGCACTGGTTCGAGCGGTGCAGCGGTCAAGTCAGGAGTCCCGTAGTCCGGGGCAAGTGCATGCTTCGCTGGACAATGGTTCGGTGCCCAGTTCCAATCTGTATAGCTGCAGCTCCGCTAGCAATCCCCTCGACGGAGGAGCAGTGGCGGTCAATTCCTCGGCGGTGGCAGCAGCTGCAGCAGCGGTATACGACGGCAAGCACGACTACTACTACTACAACAGCATGCAGCAGTATACGCCGCCTCCGTTCTACTCCGGCTACGGAACTCCTTATGCCGCGGCAACGGCAGCCCGCCAGGCCAAGATGGAACCAGGAGCAGCGGCTGCGGCAGCTGCTTATCTAACGCCCAGCTATGCCAGCGGTGGCAACAACAACTCGCAGCTCTACAGCAGTCCCTATGCCAGCTACAACAACTTCGGGCAGCAGGACTACGGCGGATACTACAATGAGCAGTACGGCAATTACTACAGTCCGGCAAACTACTCTCCGTACGCTGTCAGCTCGCCCAGCTCGAGTGCGAGTCACGGACACGGCTTTCATGTGGCAGCCTCCTCGAATCTCTCTGAGAGCCCCACGGACACCCACTCGACGACGCCAGTCCACCAGACCACCCACTCGCCGCATTCCCCGCTGCCGATCTCACCTAGCGCCGGCTCTGGAATTGGTCCTCTCGGAAATGTGGCGGCGGCTGCTGCGGCAGCAGCCCTGAACTCCAGCGGAGGCAGCAGTGTGGGCACGGCGGGATCAGGGGGTGTAGCGACCAGCAAGACCACGCCAACAGGCAAAACGGGACGTGCGCGGGGACGGCGTCATCAGCAGCCCAGCCCAACCAGAAGCACTGCCTCGGACACTGGAAACAGCGAGGCCGTCAAGCCACCGGAGAGGGTGTTCGTCTGGGATCTGGACGAGACCCTCATCATCTTCCATACCCTGCTCTCGGGCAGCTATGCCAACCGATACACCAAAGACCACAGCTCCCTGATGACTATCGCCTTCCGGATGGAGGAGATGGTCTTCAACATGGCCGACACGCACTTCTTCTTCAACGAGATCGAGGAGTGCGACCAGGTGCACATCGACGATGTCAGCTCGGATGACAATGGCCAGGACCTGAGCGCCTACAACTTCGCCACGGACGGCTTCCATACGAACAATCCGCCCGGTGCCCCGCCCAATCTCTGCCTGCCCACTGGAGTGAGGGGCGGTGTCGACTGGATGCGCAAGCTGGCCTTCCGCTACCGCAAGATCAAGGACATCTACAACAGCTACCGCGGAAAGTGAGTATAGTCCTGGTTGCAATCTCAATATAAGATTATAGGAGAGTGAAGATCCTTCTTCTTAGTCTTAGAGATAATTTTCATTCATTCATCTAACCAGAATTCCTCTTCGTCCACAGTGTTGGGACCCTACTTGGACCCGGAAAACGCGAGGCTTGGCTGCAGATCCGCTCGGAAATCGAGGTGGCCACAGACAACTGGGCCACGCTGGCGCTCAAGTGCCTGAGCATGATCTCCCAGCGAGAGAACTGCGTCAACGTGCTGGTCACCTCCACGCAACTGGCCCCGGCACTGGCCAAGGTCCTGCTCTTCGGGCTGGGCGGCATCTTTAACATCGAGAACATTTACAGTGCGCACAAAATCGGTGAGTGAGGAGGGAAGCAGCGATGGTCGATCGATATGGCTATAACCAGTTTTTCCCCCTTTTTGTTTAGGCCATGAAACCTGCTATGAGCGGATCGTGACTCGCTTCGGGCGCAAGAGCACCTACGTGGTAATTGGGGATGGGAACGAGGAGGAGAACGCCGCCAAGGCCATGAACTTCCCCTTCTGGCGCATCTCCGCCCACAGCGACATTCGCGCCCTCTACACTGCCCTCGACATGGGTTTCTTATGAAAGGCCAAACTGTAATGGCAGGCTCGAAGCAGTTTTGAGTACAAACAGCAAAATGTTTATTTAATTTATTTAATATTAATATTATAACTGATACGTATGTGTGTGTGTGTGTGAGACAACCAACAAATGCAAACTGTAAACCAGCGCAAAATAATTTAATTATTTTGTTTGAACAATTTATACTTTAACGCCAAGACTTCTTGTATTATATAGTTTTAAAACACCTAATCAACGATCCTAACAGTTCGCAGTTCTCGCACGAAGTTGTTTCAAGTGTGTAATTAACGAACTAACGGTATACGTATTTAGCACCTTAGATTAGCAAACAATAACGGACCGATGATGCCCCATCCTGGCCACATCCTGGAAAGCGGAGCAGACACAACAAAAACTAGTTTAAAGTTCTTAGTTTAAAGGCAGAACCATAATTATAATGATTATAAATAATTCGACAAAGCCGTAGTATTCAAATTTTAAATAACTATTATTTAGCTGCATATATTAAACTATATTTAAAATATAAAACCAAGTAATAAAAGAGCAAATCCAACAACAACGCACTCTATTAAAGCATAACCTTTTGCAATTTCTTTTTGGGACTGGAAACTATTCTTAAGGATAAAGAGTGTAAACAATTATATAAATCCTGGTATTAAATTGTTTCTTTACAATGATACAATCTTATAAAACATTGAATCTCTGGATATACACATTCTATTCCAGTTGATCCTGATTCCTGGTTCCTGGATCCTGGATGTTTAATATTTTTCAAAGAATAACATATATCCTGTTACTCTAGGAGTTTTAAGTATAGTAAAGTTATCCGATCTTTTGAAAGTAAGTATACTCCAGTCGTAAATGATAAGGCATGCCCTTTTCTAATGTCTAAAACGTAAAAAGTTTCCACGTCTAAAAAGTCTATATAATCTGACGAATTTATTTTGGTAAAGAATATATATTTTATATACAAAATGTCCATTCCACTGCTTTGACCACGTAATAGTCTAGATAATCATTTCTACTATAATGATGAGTTTATGATGATTTATTCTTTTTTTTATTGTAAAAAACAAAAATACTTTTGGGACTTTATAGATTGCTTATAACTTTGTTTATCACATATCTATAATTTTCATTATGTTCTTTTATGCGAGTGCAAATGTTTACATCGACTCTCCATATAACGATCAAATATATATATACCTATATTATACGGTAATTACCTATATTAAAATTATCTTTAAAAGGGTATACCATTTACACCGTTTTTGTACAATGTAGAATTGAAGTTTTGGCAAACGAGTACTAGATGGAGCCACATTATTTTACACACCTCTTGTTTTCTACAAGTAAGTTTGCTTTTGACATGAAAGTGTTGCCAACTGTGTTGTTTTCTTGTCACGCACTATGGAGTTTTCAGCGGAAATGATGGCGTCTATGCTTTTACCTAGTGCAGCAATTAGTTAGCAACTTTCAGGTGTAAATACTATAAAAATTCCAAATCTTTTAAGTATAGGTGAATTAAAATACTTAAAAACTCAAACATTTATTATATTTGAAAAATGAAATCGTTAAATTTTAAATCATAGCTGTTAGGTTGACTCCACAAATGGTAGTAAAGCAGGCCAATATAGCTTTATTAAACAGCCTTGTTGTAATAATCAAGAAAGTCAATACTGAATTGAGTTGGAAATGAGACATTTCATGAGTTAGAAACTATACGCGCTGTTAGGATGTGAAAATTTGATTAATTGTATGCACTTATCGAAGAAATTCGTGAAGAATCAGAGTTGTAGAGAAACTAGCCCAACAAAAAAGAACAATTATTTTTATAATTCATTATTTATTCAGTTGGTATGTTGCTTAATAGGTGTAATTATGCAAATATTGCTGGATCCTTCAGTTTATTGAACAATCCAAATACTCTGTTAACATATCTCTTGCCAATTTGATCGGTTTACTGGGCTTCGTTTTGGATAAAGAAAACGAACATAACTCAGTTATATAATAAGGACATAAAGTATAGTACAATTTAATTACAATTACAACTAAATAACCATAAAAATAATCTACGCCTAAGGAAACTTATGAGTAGGAATCGAGTGCCCATTGCTCTTTTTAATACATTTTTTAGTTCATAATTTTCATTTTCATTAGAAATTTGTGTCTAAATTGATTCTAGCGTGATTTACGTTGCTCTTCCTTCCGATTTGATAATATTGCACAGTTTTTAGTTGGCCAAACATGGTTGTTGCATCTCGATTAATTTCAAACGTGTTCTCTTTTTTTTTTTTTTTGTTTTTCTGTTAATATCTCTGTGATACGTTTTTGGTGTGTTAGATGCTAGATCACTGGATTTCATTGTTAAGCTGAATTACAAAAGTTGTTTGCCTAAATAATTTACATCAAAAAGCCAAGTAAACATTCCACTATACGCAGCCCTATTTAGACTAAGTTCTCAGTTATTGTTTGCTTAAGTTCTAGGCCTAAATGTAAATCTGATATTCGACTGGTTTTCGTACCGCTTTATTCTCTACACAAAAATTCGCCAATTACTAAAATTATGCATTTCATATTGTATATTCAGTTTATATATATTAATAACTATTGCTCAGTTAAGTGTGTTTGCGTGTCTAGCAAAAATGTGCCCGCTATGAATGAGTCTTCACAATGCACCCACTTGCTCTGTCCAGCCCCGCTCCATCAGCTCCCGCTGATCCACTCTTCTCCACTCCACTCCGTTCTTTCCCTTTTTCCCATTTCTTTTTGCTCGCTCAACACGACGATATCACAACAAAATGTACCAAGTAGAAGAATTAGTTATCATTATCAGTTATCGTTAACGATCGGCTAAACCTAGGACCGCTTCACGTGAACGGCGGCGGCATGACCATCGGATCAAAGGTCTGCTGCGTGGTGGAGAAGTTGCTGAAGTTCTCGATGCGGCGATATCCCCACAGATCCATGGCATCCACACAGACATCCTGGATTTGTTTAATCTGAAATGGGATTATTTTGATTATTTCACTTTGAAACAGAAACAAATATGAAGAACCTACCTCTTCTGGCTTTAGATCCTGCATCCAATGGAATGGCGCTGATCTGGAATCACGATATGTGGAACTAACACCGCCGATGTTCACCTTGGTGTGCGTATCCAAGAACTCCTCCACGGCTGGATCGAATGGCAAGCCGTAAAAATGCAAAATATCCTCGGTCATCTCACTGGGGCTCAAGGAAAGGTCCTCATAACGAACAGTCCTAGAAGATATAGTATATGATATATACTTTACCTACACGATATTCATTAGGGAAACTCACCTGAAACGAGACGGATATTTTTGTAGCAGCATCTCAGCTGTCTTATAGTCATCCTGCAGATCTTGGCACACCAGTCGCGGATCCTCGCAGTCCTCGTTGCCTCCGCACCAAACTCGATGTCGCCTGGACTGCATCGTGCCCCGCGGATCCCGCACCAGAAGCACGATCCGAACGTTGGAGAGACTGCGGGTAGGCGAATGAAAACTTGTTAGAATACTCATATAGATAATCATATATATATATATGTATATCGTGACGGATGATATATAATTGCTGGCGTAATAGTTGAGCAGCGAGCCGTGAAGTTCACTTTGCCATAACAATGAGAGGTAGGGAGGGAGGTAGAGGGAGTCTCCCTGGAATTGGCTTTCAATTAAATCGGATTAAAACTTCTATAATGGAGCATAATTAGCATTTTCATGGAGCCCAGCACGAGTCGGTTTCTAGCTGAACTCCAATGGCACTAAAACATCGACCAACTGAAAATTGTTTTTAATTACAACACTTAAATGTATCTCCCTCTCCCCCTCTCTCAGCCCCCTCGCAGCTCAACAGCCACTGCAATTGCTAATTTATTTCATGAAAATGTTTTGCCTAAGCGGAAACAACGAAAAAGTTGATAAAACGGCAGGAACGGAAGCAGGGAACGTGGGTTTTCAGTTCGGGTTTGAGATGCTAATGGGGTCGATCGGAAAAGTAAAGGGAAGCTTAAAGCAACGTGCTCGTACAGTGCAGCAGGCGGAGGTAAATGATTTTCCATTTAGGTAGAATTATCTTACATATTTAACTTAAATACCCTTTCTATATTATAGAATAACAGCTCGAATTAGCATCATGAAAAACAAACGCTCCCAATTATTTCTTAGTGGCTCACAGATGTAGGAGCATCATCATCATCAGAGGCATAACCACATGCAGTGGCATCAGCAAGGCGCCCACACACCCACTCAACCGCAATGCTAATGAGTTTGTGGCGAATTGAAACAATGTAAACATATATATATATATATATCTATCATATATATATATGTAGAGCTGCATCTGTATGGCAATGGTTATACAGCCTATTCATAGGTTTAAATGTAGTCAGCACGAAATGCGGTTAAACGAAATGAATGCTCGGAGTTATTCCCACATAAATCCTAAACGAATGCTTTGGCATACAAATTTAATAGAATTATATCATGAGTTATAGTTTAAGCCAATTGAATATCTGAACAATATGGGTTGGCTATTCGTTAGCTTGCCAGAAATTATGCAAATTGACAGCAGCTGCCTGATGATGTTTGGAAAGGGTTCGAAAGGGCAGGCAGCAGTAATAACAGAAACAATAACAAATAACAGTCGGTCTGAGGGGGCTCCACTGTCACTTCCCCACCCGCCAAGCTGGGCTCACTGTGGCTGCGCTGATGGCAACCGCAACAGCTGCAAAAATACCAATGCTGAAAACTTTTTCAAAAGCCAAAAACCGAAAAAAGCAAAAGGAAATTGTACGAAAAAATGCGGAATATAAAAATTCCGCGACATTAACTTTGTTTAAAGTACCCGAGAAGGGCAAAGGACTGCGAAAGGGATATCGAGGGCTCATTTAAGTGCTGGAAAAGCAGGCAAAGGGTAAGCCCTTTATAAGCCATTAAGTCTGTGTTTGTACAGAACTATCTTTCAAATTATAGATTCATTTTGGTATAAGTTAGCTCTGTAAGTTTCAGAGACTCATCTAGCCACATTTTATACTTAGTTTTGGTGGCTGATTGTATTTATAACTTGTAAAAATCAAGGTTAATAATAGATCAGATCAAATCATTAAACTATAATTAATGGATAAGGAAAGACTTCTATTTCAGTGTTAAAAATTTCTTTTGATCTTTTACATTTAAGTTGACTTCCACTTAACATTTATTCTTCAAAACTTACTTAGTTACTTAAACTATGAAAAGTTCAGGCGTTTGCCTAGACTCAAAGCCATTTCTCTTCTTTTTTTTTTTTTTTTTGTGAACTTTTCAAGTTGAATAATTTAGGATGAAGGGCCCTTATGTTTGGACCCGAAACACAAAACAAAACTGTTGAAGGCCGACATGAATTTCACTTTCGTTTTGGCTGAGTAATTTGAGATGTTTTCTTTTCATTTGTATTGTGTAATTGCGCGAAAAAGAGGCACTCGTGGCTAAAAATATGCATAAAGTTTTTGCATAAGCCGAAAGAAAAGCATTGAACCAATTGGGCTGGCTGTCGAAGAGAGCCATCTCGAGGGGGCTTCGAGCCGGACATTGGAAGCCACTGCAAGGCAATGCCTGGCCTGAATCTACAAAACAGCAACATTTCATTTGGCTAAAAGTATTTTCAGATATTTCATGGTGTTTCGGGCAGCTGTTAATTGGTTGTTAACTATGTCTACTCTGGGGATGTCTTTTATTGGACACTTTAGCACTTGCCGGCCATAATTCAAGTTGGCTTTTAATTTAACTTTAATGGCCGCCTGGCAATGCAGGGGATGCTGGCAGTAAGCGTTTGTTAAATGCATTTAGCCCTGAAAAAACTGTTCATGAAACACATAAAATAATTGGAAAGACAGCATTGCGGACATGTTAAGTTGGCTGGGCAGAAGCTACCGCCGATTCGCATGCCATTCCCCGCCACTGTGACCCACTGACAGTGGCTTTTGGCAACTCATTGGCCCCGAAAACTAAAAGCTTCTAAGCATCTCCACTATTTGTGACTCATTCTCAGTCTTTTTGAATTTATTTTCTGGCATTTTCTGTGCTTTTCTATCGGACTGCGGACTGCGGCAGATGTGCGGCATTCTGACACAGTTTCAAAGATCAAAAGACGAAAATTTGCACAACATAAAGTCGTCAGTGGTACGCAAAATGATTTGAGAGCAGCCCAATCAATAGACGGGAACACCAATGGATGTGGCACACATGATGTATATGGATAGATATAGGTTCGTTCACAGTTAGCCGGTCCGGTAGCAGAGCTGACGACGCTCTTTTGTTGACCGATTCGGGGTCAAGCTTAGAAGTGGCGAACCCCAAAGCGATTAATCAATATAATAGACCCGGGCCTTCTGTGTTGTCCCCGTCGTCTTTGGCCATAAAACCGATTCGACTGACCCCCAAACCGATACAAAACTATTTACATAACTTTTCCCCAGCAGTGGCAAGCAAAAGTAAAAGTTGCTCACGTGTTGCTCGAGGCCTTGAACCCCGAACGCCGGCCAGGTGAACTTTTCGAAACGACTTGCATCATTAGTCAGGCGGCAGCAGCAGCAAAGATTTCCACTTCCGAAGACCGACGCCACCCCAGCCTCCCCAGCGGCTGACCCATTAAACGTTTTAGTAGCCCACCTTTGGTGGTTATCTGCCTGTGTTCATCCCAGCTCTTCAGCATGTCCCACTTCTGGCATGGCCAACTATCATTCGGCTGGCTTAGCGGTTGGGTTCTCATGCGTGTGCAGATGTCTCGCCTTATAAACTCAGAGCCGCACTAAGTACTCTGTAATTATTTTCAGAGGTTCGCGGGCTTAGGCCTGACATAAGCTGATAATGTTGATTAATGGCAGCTGGGAAAGCCAAATGCTGGGGAGCGGAAAATTGGAAATGGCTTTCCACTGCGATAGGCAAGGAGTTACTTCGATGATCAAGTCGCAGCGATCTCAGGCTTTCCTTTGGTCTTATTTTTCAACTTTTTCCAAACAAATAAACTACAATCTTTATAAGATACATCTAACATGAATTCTACTTAATAAATTCAGCAGTTTTTGCAATCAATTAGCCCGTTTTTATATTTTTTACCTCTTTATTTTCTCCTGTGTTTCGTTTTTTATGGGGCAAGAGTTGCTTTTCAGAATTCGTTCACATTTGTGCTCACCCTCGCGCCACGGTGGGCTGAATTTTCCGCCCTGACCACTTGGTTAGCGCTGAAAAAATTATTACGCATACGCTCCGTTGGCCAAAGGCCTGTGAATACGCGCATGTTTGTGTGTCTGTGAGCTCGCGTGTGTGAGTGTTTATTTATAAAAATATGCATAATTGTCGCGTGCGGGTTGAAAAACGGCCGAGAGCGAGCCATCAAAGGGGAGGGACGGAGAGCACGGGAATTACTGCGACAAAAAATATTTAAATAAAATCAAAACAAAGAAAAGAGAGAGAGAGAGAGAGAGAGCTCTCATGGCTGGGCTAAATGAAAATTGCTTAAAATATTAAATTAGCTCCTAGAAAAAAGTTCTGAAAAGTTTTCTGAACAAAATGAGTGGCCAGAAGAAGGCAAAAGCAGGGAAGTGGAAAAAGCAGTTATTAAATATTCAACAAGGCTCTGCTAGTAATTTGATTATGTTTATAATTTAAGCCGGAATATAATCCCTGAAAACGGCAAAAAGAATCCCTACAACAGCAGGCTAAGCCACATAAATCCTGCAATGCTCCGACATTAATACCACAAACATGGCCCAAAAATACAGCGGCAACGGCAACTACCACAAAAGCGGAAGCAACAAGAGGCAGAACCGAAATAGCCCTACAGAGTATGACGTTTTTGGGCAAAACGCAAATAAAAAACTGGAGTAAAAGGAAATTTATCGATTTAACAATTGCCCATACAACAGGCCCATACAAAATGCAGGCACGTAACTCCCACCCAGTCCCATTACCATTCCCATTCCCATTCCCATCGTTCTTGGCCCATTTATCAGGGCGAAAGAAAGTTACTTTAGCTAGTGGCCAGTTATAAGTATGCACAAATGCCACCACCCCCAGGACCGCCCAAATCTTGTGTTGCAACCGAAAACCGAAAACACAAACACAAAACTGGAAAAACATGCAAAGCGCTGAAAACTATGACTTGGTACGAAGTAAACTCGGAAAATGCGTTCCTAAAAATTATTCCGTTGACAGGGAAAAACAACAACTGATTTCGGAATGAAAGTGCATGGCTTTTCCCCTACTTTTTGGGATTGCAATAATTTTAATTACATGTGACATGCGAGAGGGTGTTGGAACTTCCTAACTGGCAATTAGGACATGCTACCAGTTACTTTGCCTCGTAAACTGCGCTATTTAAATGCACAACCAGAGATATCTGGTGTAAGTCAAACGGGGTCAAGGGATCCGTTTTCGGGTCACACAAAAGTTGAACAACTTTTAAGCTCTTAATGCTAGAAGAGAGTTGGTTCCTTCGAGCCAGTA